AAATAAATAAATTATCATACCATACTGTTAATCGTCAGGCACTAACAAGATTAACTGTGCCTTATATCAATGAGTGTGCTTTGTTTAAGATGTTAATATGTTGGCTTTAGGTTTATTGCTCAGCAATTTCTTTCCTTGAGCATTTGATTGTCCATCCTCTTTTTTATTCTTGGTGAAGTTTGTATAAGCGTTGCATTCAATATGCCTTGACTATTTGAAAAAGTTCTCCTTGGATATCATCTGAGTTAGAATTTTTTGCTGGAGGTTTTGTTGTTGCTGTTACTATTAAAAGTTTATTTTATCATTTTAATTTTTTATTGTTAATTGGGTGAAAGTTTGCAGAGTAGATCAGCTTTCTATTCAATAGTTCACACATATTGTGTTTCATCTCATTTTATTTATTTCAATCCCCTGTTGGAGGTTTTATGTTTTGTTATTTTAAATTAAAGTTTCAATTTATTAAATAGAGGTAGACTTATTCCTCTTTCTTCTTGATTCTGTTTTGGTTAAGTTATGTTCTTAAATAGTCAGTTTCACCTGTAACTAAATTTGCTCGAAAGCCCAGTCCAAACTCATTGCCATCAAGTTGATGCTGACTTATAACACCCCTATGAAATAGAGTAGAATTTCCCTGTGGGTTTCCAGGACTGTAACTCTGTACAAGAGGAGAAAGCCTCCTTTTCCTTCCGTGGAACAGTTGGTGGTTTTGAACTGCCAAGCTTGCAGTTAGAAGCCCAAAGCCTAACCCCTACACCATAAGAGCTTCTACCTAAATTTACTAGCATGGTTACTTATAACATTTTCTTAGAATCATTATAATGAGCATTGAATCTGAGAGATAACATTGCTTTCATTCCCAATATTGATAATTTATGGTTTCTTTGTGCTTTCTAAAGTAGGAGACATGCAGCTGTGTCACTTTTATTAGGCTTGTTGAAAAACTAAATTTTATATTTAAAGCACATATAGTTAGGTAATTTAAAAAAATCTATTCTATCAATCTAGGATGGTTAGGTTTTTTGTGCCAACATGACTCCCGTAGGAACATGAGGACAGTTTAGCCTGTCAATCAGGGTGCAGCTCAATTGAGGGGCAACCAAGATAAATTGCTCTCAGAGGCAGGTGTCTCTTTCTTCCTGGAGCCGGGCTACACACTCTCTCTGCTTCACCTTCCTGTTGGTGAGCCACATGATTGAGACCTGCCAGAGCCTTGTGATGCTTCCATTGTCGTTGGATCCAAAAGACTCTGCACACACTGGCCTGTGAACTTCCTGAATTTTGCATCGTTTGTGACTGTATAAGTCTGAAAGGGGATTTATGTATTAGTATCGGATTTATGGACTAGAATCAGACTTATGACAGACTTGATTTGGACCTGTGTTGGGATGTTTTCTTGATATCCAATTACTCCTTGATATGAAGCTCTTTCTTTTTAATTTTTTGTTTCTTGAAGCTCTTTCTTACATATATATGATGTCACTGAATTGGTTTCTCTAGTCTACCCACCCGAATACACAATGTCTGTCATTTAATTAATATATTTAGACCTTTTACATTCAATGTAATTATTCATGCATTAGGGATTTTATTGATACTTTGCTTCTTCTGTTTCTTTTATTTTATTTTTTCCCCTACCTTCCTATGGATTACTTGGACATTTCAAAAATTCTATTTTAATTTAGTTAGTGTTTTTTTCCTGATTTATACTTTTTTATTTTCAATTGGGCAAATATTTAGAGAACAGATCTTAATTTTATAATCAATAATTGATATAAATTCTGATTCGACTCATTCATTGAAATCTCATGTACAATCCTTTGTCCCACCTTCTCCCTCAGCTTTCTTTTCTTTAAAAAAAAAATCATTTTATTGGGGGCTCATACAATTCTTATTACAATCCATACATACACCCATTGTGTCAAGCACATATGTACATTTGTTGCCATCATCATTCTCAAAACATTTGTCTTCTACTTGAGCCCCTAATATCAGCTGCTCATTTCCCCCGCTCCCTCTCCCCTCCCTCATGAATCCTTCATAATTCATAAATGATTGCTATTTTGTCATATGTTACACTGTATGACATCTCCCCCTGCCCTCTTCTCTGCTGTCCATCCCCCAGGGAGGAGGCTATATGTAGATTGTTGTAATCGGTTCCCCCTTTCCACCCCACAATCCCTCCACCCTCCAG